ATCAAATAGCATAGAAAAATAGAACATTCTTTTCTCTATCAGACTATATAAAAAGAAAGTTTCTTTAACCTTTCTATAAGGGATAAAAATACCACTGCCACTACTTTTGGTATGCCCTAAGTAGTATAGTCTACTAGATGCACCTGCATAGCCTCATCTAGTATAGTCTACCAGATACTGTGTATCAGTACCATCATCGTAGACTGGCTAATTACACTTTGAGAGGAGACAAACGTAGAATACTTAAAATATTTTTTCTTATATATTGGAGCACGACATTCTGAAGATCTACAGAAATTCTACTTTGACAAGAAATTTAACGTGAAAAAGTGATCAGCTATCTTGCGCACCATTGTTTCTCTCGGAGAACTAAACATTCCATTTCTACACGATGCATACAATCAGGTCATGTTCGCGTTTGGTCGTTGCATCTTCCAACTACTAGGAAACTGTTTGCCATTTTTTGGATAAAGGCTGTGAAACTATCAAGAATAGTAAACACGGATGCCGATTTATGAAAACTCTACATCTTCAAGGCAATATATTTTTGTTTTTTCGTTTAGCAGCCATCACGAGACAAATTTGCACTAATACCAGCTCACCAACGTGTACAAGTTCTGAAACAGGTAAGAAGATAGTCATTAATCATACTGACTAAGGTATCCACTAATACCTTACTGGAAGCAACCGCTAATAATCCACAGGATTTTGTTATGAGCTTTTGTTACTTGTTATTAGTTTAAGGAACTGTGTGGTCACTCTGTCTTATTTTCAGAAACATTTATGAGTGTTATATTTTAAAGAAGCTCAACTCGACTATTTGAACACGGTTTGAAGTTACAAAACTTTAACAAAAATCAACCGAGTAGAACGTTTTCATCGCGTTTTTTGGTTATTCATACTATTGTAAATCGATAGTATAACAGTTTTAATCAAGTCATTTTTTATCAGTTCATAGTTAGTAGACTATTTGCTAATGAAAATATTTATGAGTTCAGGACTGATTCAGTGATAATTTTCGTTCCTCTCAAGCACATTTTGCTGACTGTCACATTATCCATTCTTCTTCATCGCCATCATTATCATTCATTGTTGATTAATCATTTAAAGTTTCTCTAGTTGCTTTAGTTCTTAGAGATTATTTTTCTTTAATGCTGCAGTCGTATACAGAGCATTCATATTTTTTTATTATCTTTTTATAGACATTTGCGATGACTTGTTCGAGATTTGCTTAAACACGGATACTACTAGTTGCTATTTTATTTATTGGTGTTCTTATGACCTCACTCGTCGCACGTAGATTGACTAGAGGATGTTTCAATTTTACACTTCATGTTGAAGTGAAGAGTAGGAAAGTAATTATAATATTTTTCAGCTGAGACCTCCTGTCAATCCACTTCGAAGTGTCCAAAGGGTACCTGGAATCCGAGTCGTATCGGGATCTCACCTGGGGGGACCACTGGGAACCCTTATGATGTGGCGGTCGATTCATCTAACAACATTTATGTGGCTAATGCACAATTCGGGAATGTGGCCAAATTCGCACCAACTAGCAATCCGAAGGTATATACTTCGTCAAAGGTTGCAGGCAATATCGGAAATCCATGGGGAGTGTTCGTTGGGGCAGGTGGAGGCATATATGTTTCATCAACACTTAATAATAACGTACTGAAATTCGCACCGGGAGCATCGGTGGACTCTGGTGTGTCAGTTGCAGGAAATAATGGAGCCGGTTCAGCTCAAAATCAATTAAAAGCGCCTAATGGAATATTTGTGGATTGTGCGGGAAACATTTATATTGCTGATAGTCAAAACAACAGAATAGTGCGTTGGGCTAAAGGTGCTACCAGTGGATGCACAGTTGTCGGTGACAGTTCTGGTAAAGCAGGCAGTTCAGATAGTTTACTTAATCGCCCAATAGATGTTCGGCTCACTAAAAGTGGAAACATGTTTGTGTTAGATTCAGGCAATAATAGAATACAAAAGTTTGCACCAGGATCAACAAAAGGCGAGACAGTAGGGAAAGCTGCGGATTTTCATGGTCCAATAGCAATGTTTGTTGATGATTGTGATAATGTATACATAACTGAGTTCAGTGGTCAAAAAGTCCTCAGATTCTCACCCGGTTCTACAACAGCTACAGTCATAATTCCTCAAGTCAATCAAGCAAGAGGCATAACAATGGATAGTCAAAAGAATTTATACGTGGCATCACCCTCTGATGGTCTCCTCAAATTTTTGCACATTGCAGCGACACCCTCTGGTAAGACTGAAAGAATTCACTTTAATTTAGGCATAGTATTTGAATGTTTTCCTTGTCCTCCTGTTGCACTATGAAGTATACCGAGAGTGTTGTGTGCTAATGATTTTTATTTTCTATCGAATAGGTTGAGCATTACAAGTGGATGGCGAACCGAGTTGTTTAAATTATCGATTTCACCATCAGACTATACCCGATTAAACTCAAATAACAATTTGTATGGCTGACACGATTGACGTAGTCTATGATCTTTTGGTTTATACAAGTATTGCTTTCCAGTTGATTTGATTACTTCGCTAAATATTCTCTTTTTATGTTTATTTTATTCCACATAGTAGAAATAAATGATTTCTCTGATCAAGAATTTATAACTTTCCTTCTAACATGCGCTTGAATTTTCTAAGAAACGAGCATCACTTCAAGTAAGCAACGTATACTTGCATTTTACGATAAAACTGTTTTCTAAGAGCAGTTCAAGCATGATGCAGTAATGGTTAGAAAAAAGAGTGTGGCGTTAGGAAATTTACCTCACTTTGTTATAAGAAGCGCTTGACTTCGGCTATTGAATCGTTATCTGTCATCTACTATTCCAACGTTAGAGAAAAGCTAAATCAAATGAAAAAATTATACGATTCTTATAGCTTTGATGCCCATATGCATACTGCTTTCTCTTGTCAACAAGGACAAAGGTGGTCGGTAACATTGATGTTTATATCAATCGATCTGACAGGTATCTTTTTACCTTGAGTTAAGATTAATCGAATCATAGATACATAATACATATAGATTGCGACATATCGTATGCTGTAACAGTGCAAGGTAGTAAATGCACCGAACCTGTTATTATTGCTTAAATCTGTAGTAAATGAGTTTCATCAACCAGGAATTTGCAGTGCATACATAATGCATACAGATTGTGATATATCGTATATAGATGCGGCGAATGAGAGATTCAGTCTTATATAACGAGTCTCTGTATCTTCACATCTTGGCACATTGTGTTACTTACATAGGAATACTACCGCTAAAATGAAGAATTTGAAAGAAAGCACTCATCGCTTCCAGTGACAAGTTCTCTTCAATAAAGATAGAATGACTTCATTCTGAATGATGCAAAGATATGAACTCGTCTTTCGCAGAGTGAATATTGTGTATGAGCGAATTTGAACCATCTCTGCACATCGCTTACTTTAAAAGTAAAAGCAAAATAAAATAATACAGCTCTCCTTAGACTACAAGGTAAAAAGCTAATTTCCAAATCAATCACTATCAAAATGTATATTCTTTCTTTGTCAATACAACAATAACGGTGGTCGATAACAGTGATTTTCATACTGATCAATCTTTTTACTTTGCGTTAAGACTAATGTGTAACAAAAGAAAGGGTAGTGTTAGAATTTTTTGTTTTCCTTAGATCGTAGACTGTTCATTCTTTTACCATCACAAGATTCCCCATTCATTTCTCTATAGAATCGTGTGTAGAAGATGATACTAAGGTTTGAGATGCTACCTTAACTGAACACGGGTCAAAATTTCCTAAATACTCAAAAAAAGCTAACTCGAAAACGATTTACTGGATTTTTGTTGGAGCTTTTCTGACAATAATCGGGATACTTGCCAATTATTAACTAGACGCTTTTACCACATCAGACTGACGAGGGCAAAATGAGTCTTCCGTCTGAAAACGAACATCTGAATGTGCCGAGAAAGGACATCAGATCTTCGTCGTAGCACTATCCGTTAGGTATACACCGGTTAAATAAAATTTTCTCACAACTGAGTTTTGTAGAGCAAACATTTCTGTATAAAATGAGCTATGGGGAGGGGAATCTTTTCATCTGTTCTCTTTGCCTTGCGATCACCTGCAATCACCGAAGAGCCCCATTTATCGGTTTCGGTTATGTAATCGCAACCGGTAAATGGAGCTCTTATTAAATATTACTTTTATAGGTGATGGATGGAGATGAGAAGAATGTGAATTCATCAGTATCAACCTCAGACCAATATTCCGTATTTGTATAAGAACATGCTTGATTGTTTGAATCGTAGAAGATATCAGTTGATTTACTAGGTAATCCTAGAAAGAAGAGAGCGTACGTATGGTTCGCTTCGAAGAGTATCCTTAATAACTACATTTGTGAATGTGCATTTTTTTGCTCGTGTTTTAGAACTACGATTACCAGGGCATCCTAGTAACATACGTGAACCTCAACATATACTCAAACGTTTGCATATTTTGAGCTGCACTGGATCTCTGAAAGCTCGAATACACTCATATTTAACACTAAAATGTGATACACTTTGCTCTGATAATACACTTTACAGATACAGAAGATGAATTGAAACAGTTGCCATTTAAACAGGTATTGTTTGATATGCAATTGTTCATTTTGTTATATTGACAGTATTATTGAGCAAATAATGGCACGATTGTCGATTGTCTTCCTCTTATTACAGCTACTAACTAAAGACTTGCGTATAATAATATGTCATCCGTTCTTTATAGAGAGTGCGAGAGACAAAAAGCAGATGGAGGCGCCGAGAGAAGAGAGATTAATCGTTTACTTATTATAAAACTTATCTGCTTTCGAAAGGATATTTCTCTGTCTTGATCCTACTGTTGTACACTCTAAAACGGAACGTACTTTCGGAAACTAAAAGAGTTTAACGTTTTGATTGAAAAACCTATTTGGATTCCGCGGTAGTGATAAAAACCAAAATCGGTTTTCCGGCTGCTGCTAAATGGTACATCACAAAACCAAAACGTTCAGTAGACAAAACAAGAAACCGGAGCGGTACTTCGGATTCTAAAGTACCGTTTAAGGATATTTTTCTTTTAGTAGGATACCAAAATGGTTTAATAAAATGCCAGTGAAATGTGTCGTACAAAATCAAAACGGTTTTATGTTAATGTTAGGTAAGGGATTTCATTCGCTCTAAATACCAGGTGGGTTTAGTAAAATACCAAGACGGTATCTTAAGATCCCAGCAGGACTTTCTTTATTGATTAAAAAGCCGCTTTGGTTTTGTAAGATACTATGAGTTTTATGAAGTTAAGTTGAGGGTATTGTAGAGTTCCAATAACGGCTTTTTATTCGGAATAAAAAACCAAATTTTATTATTTTCAGACACTCAGATTTCTTTTTCTTTTTTCTTTGTGTTTTTATTTCCCCTTTGGTGACAGTTTATTGCTGCTTCAGAAAGGTGATACTGCTTAGTGATCATTCTTGAAAGATATTCGAGCCAAGACAACGAAATTCAACGTTGTGTCGGAGTTTTTTTGCTGAAAAATCGATAAGTGAATAAACTATTTAAAGAGTTCGTTTTTATTTATTTCAACGATCTGAAACTTAAGTGAAATACCGCGAAGCTTCAATTTTCATTCTGTTCAAATGCAAAAACGACGAAAAGATATTTATTTTGAAGATGATGCTATGCAACAAAGTAGAAGCAAAACGTATCTTCTGGTATCTCACAGTGTCGTCTTTCTTTTCATGTATCAGAGGTTGGCTTTGACCGTGTTTTGCTGATACAAAACGCTATTTTAATACAGTCTGCAAACACAAGACAAATTTCCGCCTTTGCGCCTAGTCAGTGGAGCTATGGACCTTTCGCTGTTCGAATCTAACAAAACAATTATTTTCCTTTGAGAAAAAACGCATCACATCTGAAAATATTTGAGTTTGGTGAATTTGTGAAAAAATTTCTCAAATGTCACCAAAATTGCAGTTTAAAAACGGTGGTTTTTGATAAAATGAAAACCTTCGCCCCCAACGAATTGCCATTATGAGGAGAAAACACATAGCCAATTGATCAGAGCCATAGCCAGATGCCAATTGATTCAGAGGCATAGCCAATTGATTTCAGAGGCTACAAGTCGGCCATCTTCTCTTATTCTGCATTCCAAAATACAAAGAACCACAAGATTTTGGCATCAAATTCAGGATAATGAACTGTTCCTTTAATAACTTCCCCTGTAACGGTTTTCTGTTATTTTTAGACCATACTTGGGTATTTGTTAGCGAGTGTCATGAGCTATCTATTGATATAATAATATTAATAGATCATTAAATTTGTGTTTTTGGAGAAACACTACTATTGTGATTAGGATTAATATACACTTTTCTTTTATAAAAAGAATAATTACTCAAATTGCTATTGGCAAATGATAGCTGGTATGTCTACCTATCGTAACGTCTCAACTGCGATACAATCCATATTTTAATCAAGTATCTCAGTTGAGAAACCACTATTTCTGCAAAAATAGTCGTTTCTCCACTGAGATGCATTTGATCAAATATGGACTTTGCGAATTTCTTAACTGAGATATAATTTTGAAATGTGTGTTGAAAGGTGCAATTGCGCAAGAGTGCAGTGTACAAAGGTCTATTATTCAATAGTTCTACAAAACCTACAACAATTACAACGACTTTCACTCCATTTTGCATACTTAGACGTTTTTCACAAAACTCGTGCGTCAGGCAGAGTCTGTAGCCTCTGAAATCAATTGCCTATGTTTAAAAATCCTCATAATCGCAAGTCGTTCCGGGAGAAGGTTTTCATTTTATCAAAAATTACCGTTTTTATATGCTAGCGAGGTGTTAGGAACACCTAAACAGGCTGAGACTTTTTGAGGTGACTCAAGTTGTATGATTCTCTTCTTTTGTGCCATTAAGAAACTACTGTTTTATTCCCTTTTTTGTTGATGTTTGTAATCATTGTACCATATATATGAGTTGAACTTTTTTCGTTTAAAATGAGATAAAAAACTCATCCTCTGAGTTTGCTACCTGACTCTCTATTTATACTGATTTTTCCTTTTCAGATAAAGATTATAACAAGATCAAAGCATTCAAAGTTCACATTCAAATTTGATTGCACTATGTTCTCGAAGAAAAGTCCGACTAAAACATAGTGCAATCGTAGATAACAAATGGTGACTGGAAAAATGAGAAACTAGTACGTACTGGTGCAACATAGCATGCCGTTCGCGCTAGTAGTGCCGGCCTTTTTCCGTACTATACTGGGATTTTTCTGTGCGAGAGTCGATCATGTTTCTCATAAGAGTCTTACAAGAATCTTATCAGCATCTTACAAGAATCCTACAGGAATCTTATAAGAATAACGTACGAGTTTTGCTGACTCTTATCAATTTCTTATGAATTCTTGTGAGATTCTTATAAGATTCAGCAGAATTCTTGTCACTTTCGTGGAAGATCTTATATAAGAGTTGTGTAAGATTCTTATAAGATTCTTATAGTTTCACAAATATTTTTTGTCTAAGGCAAGCGATATTAATCTTATTGAGCAAATGAAACTAGAAATCGAAAAATTCGACCCAAATCTTGACGAACTTAAACGACTTTGGAAATCAACTCTTCAATCAAGACGCGAATTTATTAGAGAAACAAAATTGTTGATGTGTTACAAATGTACCCTGATTATAAACGTCCAGAACTAGTGAGCTCCTTCTTTATGTGCATCCACTGTTTTTTTATTTTTGGGGGGGCATATGTGTTAGGGGATGTCTAACGGGTGTTTCAGAATAAATCGGTCACTTAGTATTTTGCTCATATCTTAACTGGATTTTATCCCCTAAACTTTGTTGTTTTCTTAAGAGGTGTGTCGTAAAATTCTCTACAAAAAATATATTAAACATTTTTCTATATATCGTAAAGAGAAATGAATATCGAAGAAATACTGCGAAGCTTCGATCTCGATTACTTTGCAACTCAAAAAACAATTTTTTCAATTTTATTCATTCATACTTTGTGAAACAAAATACC